GCACCGGGATGTGATCACCGGCACCGGGATCCATTCACCGGCACTAGGATATGGTCACTGGCACCGGGATGAGGCCACCAGCTTTGAGATATGGTCACTGGCGCCGAGGTGCAGTCACCAGCACCGGGATGGGGCCACAGGCGCTGGGATGAGGCTACCGGCACCAGGATGAGAGGCACCGGGATGAAGGTGCCAGGATAGGGCCACTGGCACCCCGGCACCAGCGTGATATGGGGCAATCGGCACTGGCAGCAGGGACCCTGGGCTGACCGGCACCGGTACGAGGCGATTGGCACCGTTGGGGTGTTTGGCACCGGGAGTGAGCGGCGCTGCCGGGGGGAGCGGCTGCAGCGCGGTGGCTGCAGCACCGGGAGCAGCCGCAGTGGGACCGGCACAGGGGAGACGGGGTGGGCGGATGTGGGGGTGGGCATTGGCGGGGGCACCAGCGCCAGGGGGTGGGTGCTCCGGAGCCTAGACATCAGCACCAGCACTGGCAGGGGGAGGTCGGTTCCTGCGCTGGAGAGGGGGCTCCTGCCGATGCCGTGGGTGGCCAGGGGGTGCTGTGCGTGCAGGTGTGGGGTGTTTGCAGGGCGCAGGGTGGCCCATGGGCTCACTGCACCGGGAGCCGCCGTGAGGCCGCAGGACGCCAAGTCCTTCAGGGTGGGCAGGACGCGGCGGGGACACGCGAGGACACGCAAGGGATGCGGGAATGCGGCGCACACGGGGGTGACACATGCACAGGCACCCGCGCAGGGCCTCGGGCATGCCGGAAGGGACGTTGGGCAGCAGCAGCGGCCCCAACCTTTGCACCGCGGCCGTGCCCTCTCTGCAGGCGGCTGGGCAGGGCCCGCGCTCTTTATGGTCTCTAATTGCGGCCCGTGCCAGCCCGGCCAGCGACTCACAGCGGCAGCAATTAGCACCACAGCGCCTAATGACAGGGCTTGCACAAGCCGGGCTTAACCCCTGCGCTGCCCTGGCTGGGCCTTCGCGGCCTCCTCGCGGGCTCGAAATGGTCTGGGTGCTCTGCGGTACTGGGTGCTGCAGGGCTGCCCGGARTGTCTGCAGCTGGGCAGGAGATGCTGCCGTGTCCGTGTGTCCCTACTCCAGGGATCCGTGTGCGAGTTGTCCGTGTGTCCCTGCTCCGAGGATCCGTGTGGGAGATGCTCTGGGTGCGTGGGATGAGCAGGGGCCGGCTGGGAGATGCTCCCGGTGCCTGGAGGAGGTGCAGGGGGCCCTGGCTGGCGGCTCCGCACAGCCCRCGCTGTGCCCGGGGCTCAGCCATCCCAAGGACATGTGCTCCTCACGGATCCCTCCGGTGCTGGGCTCGCAGTCCTGGTCTGGCACCCGCTGCAGCTGCCGCTGCTCCCTCCCCAATTTGCATCCTGGAAACGCTTCCCTGTTTCCTTATTGCAGCCCAAGGCGCTGCAGACAGGGCGCCTGGGGCCGCTGCTGGTTCCCAGGAGGGTGGTCCCGGCTCCCGCGGCCCTTCCGCTGGGACCAGCTCCACAGGGACCCGCGCTCCCCGCTCCCGGCCCGGCACCATCTGCTCCTCGTGCGGGCCCGTCCAGCGCCCGCCRCTCAGAGCCCGATCAATGAGCTAAATGGAGGTTTAATGGCCTGGGCTCTGCCGCGGGCACAGAAAGAGCCTTTGGAGCAGGGAAAGCGGAGCCGGAGGGCGCCTGGGCTCCTTCCCCAGGGCAGCACAAGCTCCGCTCCTGCTCCTGCTCCTACTCCTGCTCGCACTCCTGCTCTCGCTCCTGCTCAGCCTTGCCCATCTGGTTTCTGTGGGAGGGTTTGAGCGCCCAGCGAGGCCGTGTCCTGGGCTGCAGCTGGCTCTGGCCACCGTGGCTTCTTGCCCTGGGTCACTGTGGGGCGACGAGCTCGCTGGACGGGGATGAGGAGCTTGGGGACCATGGGGCTGCAGCCACGTGCAGGGCAACGCAGGCTGAGGATGCTGGGGCGCGTGTTGGGGTGAGCATCAAGCAGGGATGGTGCTCAGGTCCCCACTGGTGTCATGCGTGGGCACCTGGATGTGTACAGGGTGCTCCTTGTGTGCAGGGTGCTC